AGTGTTAAAGAACCCAAACATCAAACAAACACAATGTTAAAGAACCCAAACATCAAACAAACACAGTGTAAAAGAACCCAAACATCAAAACCAGCCTGTTTAACAAACACGTTTGGATCCATTACTCAAACAGTTCTAATCTTCTGGCCAGAGGAGGCTCGGTCTTCTCACCTGTGGCCCAGCTGGGTGAAGAGGAGGTGAGGAGGGAGGCCTCCCCCCAGCCAGGGGAGGCTCCCCARGATTGGGAGGCTCGGCAGGCATGGGACTGAGGATGGAGGACTGTTTTTAGGACCGAACCAACGGAAGATCAGAGACAATAGGAAGACTGAGACAGTGATGAAGAGGAGCAGGACGGACGGAGAGAAGGAGGTGAAGAAGGAGGTGAACATGGCTGCAGTGAGCCAGAGGAGAATGAGGAGGCGACAAAGAGTCCTGACTTTATAATACTGAGGGAGAAACCTTGGGAGGTCAGAGGTCATGAGTGACGGTGTGTTTATCAGACAGCCTTGGTCTTGTCAGGGTCAGAGCGCTGTTTGCCATGGAAACTTAAAGAAACACGTTTTAACCAGGTTTATATTTTAACAAACTGCTGAATAATCTATTCTAAACATCAGGGTTAGTTGGACAAGTTTTGTGTCCTGGTTTGGGACTCGGGTCTAGACTTTTTGGACCCTTTAGGATATTTTATTCAGACTTCAGGTTCAGGACTTTGTTTTGACTGATGTTTGAATTCAAGCTGTGTTTGGAGTTATTTTATCTCTATTTTAAGACTGTTAGTTTTAGTTCTTTATATATTTAGTTATAGACCTGGTTCTGATCTGGATTAAATCTGGTTGTAGACCTGGTTTTAGACCTGGTCTTAGATCTGGATTTGATTTGGATTAAATCTGGTTTAGGACAAGGTTTTAGACCTGGTTTTAGGTTGTTTGAACAGATTTATGTCAACTGTAAAMCTGTTTTCATTGCGACGTATTTAAATTTGAATTTTAAACTGGTTTAAAACTGGTTAGAACTGGTTTAGAACTGGTTTAATGCATCATCTCGTCTGATTATGTCTTATTTTAGCTTGTTTTGACAGATCTTTATTGACTGTAAAGCTGTTTGCATTGTAACATATTTGAATTTAAATTTTAAACTGGTTTATAACTGGTTAGAACTGGTTTGGAACTGGTTTCAGCCTGGTTTCAAACCTGGTTTAAGCTTGTTTTAACAGATTTATGTCGACTGTAAACCTGTTTGCATTGCAACATATTTAAATTTGAATTTTAAAATGGTTTATAACTGTTTTAGATCTGGTTTAGAACTGGTTATAACTGGTTTGTAACTGATTATAACTGGTTTAGAACTAGTTTAAACTGGTTTAAACCTGGTTTAGACCTGGTTTTAGGTTGTTTGACAGATTTATGTCGACTGTAAACCTGTTTGCATTGCGACATATTTAAATTTGAATTTTAAACTTGTTTAGAATTTGTTTAGAACTGGTTAGAACTGGTTTATAAATGGTTCTTAACTGGTTAGAACTGGTTTAGAACCGGTTAGAACTGGTTAGGACTGTTTAGAACCGGTTAGAACTGAGGTTAGAACTGGTTAGAACTGGTTAGAACTGGTTTATAACTGGTTTATAACCGGTTCATAACTGGTTAGAACGGGTTTATAACCGGTTTATAAAACTGGTTCATAACTGGTTAGAACTGGTTTATAACTGGTTTATAACCGGTTCATAACTGGTTAGAACGGGTTTATAACCGGTTTATAACCGGTTCATAACTGGTTAGGACTGGTTTAAAACTGGTTCATAACTGGTTAGAACTGGTTTATAACCGGTTTATAACCGGTTCATAACTGGTTAGAACTGGTTTAGAACTGGTTTCATGCATGCATCTGGTCTGATTTTGTCTGATTTCAGCCTGAGTTGACGTGTTTACTGGTCTTTTGAATCACTGGATGAATTAGGCTGATCTTGTGGTTGTTGGCAAGCAGAGGCTCTGCTGCAGAGCTGCTTGTTTGTGTCGAGGCTAAAGATAGTCCTGAAGGATTCTGGCTGAACGTTTCTCCTGCTGCAGAATTAATCTGTCGCCACTTTGTGTTTCTGTGGTGATGCAAAAAAAAAATCTACAAATGTAAAAGCATTAAGTTTAGAAACATGTGAGTCAGTGGCTGCAGATGACAGAAACTGAAGGCCAAAACGCTTCTGACGCCATGAGGATCCAGATCCTCGAGCGATGCCGTGCGGTTCTGCTGTAACAGGTGGAGGGAGGAGGTGGCACGGAGCCATGGCAACAGTCTCTTTCTGACTTCGCCCCCTCACACACATTTCTCCATCATCTGTCTTCATGCAGGCTCTGCACACAACTTCTGAGATTTATCTTCTCTGCGTCGTCAAACAGAGCTGCTCAGGCTGCTGGACCCACCCCAGGTCTTTGTATTTTTATCAGGGAGGGGGGATCAAAATAAACATCAGCAGAACCACACGGSTTTGAGGTTCCAGCTAAAAACCTGCAGAACCCTTCATCTGCAACACATTAAGATTCATGTTTTATTAGTTTTATTAAAAGAAAGAGATGCTTTATTAGATCTGGTGCTCCAGATTAAACATGTGATTTTAATGTCAGCTGTCAGAACTGCAGCGTCTGACAGGACTGGTTTATCTGGTCTGAGGGGTCCACCAGACCTGCAGCTCCAACCTGGACCAGGTSTGGTTCTCCACATTAAGCATGTGATTTTAATATCAGCTGCAGTTTAAAGATTAAAGATTCTGCAGAAATGTTGGACTTTCCCTGAAACTTTAACTTTTATCATCTTCTAACAGAGAAGACTGCAAACACAATGCAGTTTGTATTTGTTTGTGTTGTTTATTTTTTGTGTTGTTTGTGTTGTTTATTGTTAGTGCTTTGCTTCAGGATCATCCCTCAGGGGCAGCAGACCTGAGTCTGAGTTGATGATTCAGGTAAAAACTGGAGAATTCAGCTGCTTTTTTTATTATGTAACCCCTGGTCTGAATCTCTCCCCGTCTCCATGGTGACAACATCCCAGCAGCTGCTGCTGTGCAGGAATGTAACATGTGGACCAGTGACATGTGGACCAGTGACATGTGGACCAGTAACATGTGGACCAGTGACATGTGGACCAGTAACATGTGGACCAGTAACATGTGGACCAGTGACATGTGGACCAGTGACATGTGGACCAGTAACATGTGGACCAGTGACATGTGGACCAGTAACATGTGGACCAGTGACA